CCTAGTAAGAGAAGAAGATAAAAATGAAAAGATTGTGCACATTGAGACTCTGAAGAAGTTAATCTTATATATCGATCAGCTGCGTGGTAATAACGTGTTCTGTGTTTCCCAGTTTTAAACACTTTACAATTGCCTCCAATTTATGCTCAGAGGGTATTTGTTTAACAGCTTCTAGATTTGTTGAAATGACCCGATAAAGGACAGCATGCTATGTTGTTATTTAGGTTAGAAGACAATACAGCTCTTTGACACAAAGGAATATGTGCATTTGGAAGAAAAGATTCTATCCTATCAAATGGCAAGCACTAATCGATAATAATAATAATAATAATAATAATAATAATAATTAATAATTAAGCTGGTGCTTAAGAAATGGTTCAGTGGTTAGCAGCATTTACGGACCTTGGAGAGGACCTAGGTTTGGTCTCCAACACTCTTTTGGTGGCTCAAAACCATCCCTCACTCGAGTTTCGGGGGGATCTGATACCCTCTTCTGAACTCTGAGGGCACCAGGTACCCACAATGGAGCATATACATACATTCAGGTAAAACACTTAACCATATAAAATAAAAATAACTCATTTGAAAAAACAAGTTAGCTGCTACACAAACTTGTAAATTTTCATTTGAGTCTGAAGTGGCAAAAAGTGAACTTGAGGCTGTGAGAAGAATCTTGTACTACTATCTTTTGACATGGAAGAGAATAATAGTACAGACCGCACCAAAGAAAGGCTTTCAGCGGCACACCCTTCCAGGTAACTAAAAGACCTGATGACCTAGAAAGACTACATCTTTTAAGGCTAAGTTTTAGAGAACTTGTTTCTATAAATGGTAGAACCGAGGCAAAGAATATCAAGTATATATTGCCAGCTCTAACAGAATAGAAATCCCTTTGAAAGCATACTTAGTCAGGGTTTGCTCCCTAACACCAGAATCCACGTCACTCTACTCTGCCAGTTTACAGAGCTAATGTTTGGCGAACAGTAAGCTTATCACCCGCTTTTATCTAATCTTCAGCTCTCTAATTGGTTACTGAATTAAATAAATTAGTTCTAAAATTTATCTTGATAACCCACAGAGTAAAAGACTCAACAATAATCCTGACCTGGTTGAAAAGCTTTATTTTCATTTAGGTAACGGCTTTATGGAGATAGGATTTACAAATCACAAAATTAGGCCAAGTAAAGTATATAATTCAAGCATATGAAGCAGTAGAAAACTGTGGCCAGCTCAAGACTTAATTTTTAGCTGGCTTTGCAACCATGGCTATGCTACTTTAGTATTCTATGGCTTGATTTATTTTTTCATCATTCTGCTGTTGAGAGGATTAAACCGAGGTGCTGGAGCAATGGCTCAGTGAAACCACTTGTTCTTATCAATCTCCAGCACCGACATGGTGACTCCCAACAGTATTCAGTGCCCTTGTCTGACCTCTTGGGGCATCCAGCACACATGTGGCATACGGACATACATGTAAGCAAAACACATACAATAAAATAGTAAAAAAAAAAAAAAAAAAAAAAAGATTGCAATCAAACTTTACTGAAAAGGGTCCTAGAAAAAGCTGGTACCAATTTTCAACCTATTTTAATTTAAAAATGTATATGACTGTTTTGTCTGTGTTTGTACCATGTGCATGCCTGGAGTCTGCAGAGGCTATAGGAGAAGCCTTCAGTCTCCTAGAACTGGACGTACGGATAGTTGTGAACTACCACATGGGTACCTTTAACTGCTGAGCCGTCTCTCTGGCCCTCAGCATTTGACTAATTGTTGCAATAAATGAAATAGTCTCTGTATCATGGGAAAGTGCTTGGTATTCAAACTAATACAAATTTAAGTTCTTTAAAATATATTTTTACATATATACATATGAGTTTATATGTGCCACACGTGTGCATGCATGTGAGAAGGCCAGAGAGTGTCAGGTTCCTTGGGACTAGAATTACAGATGTTTGTGAGTTGCCTGGTGTGAGTGCTGGGATCTAAGTGCCGAGCCAGTTCTCTGTCAATCTTGCCTTCACTCTCATTGTTTTGCAGACAGAGCTGGGATACAGTCCTAAACAGAGCAGAGTCTGTACTTTTAGTAAGCTTATTAGGGGACAGGATAATAATTGTTAAAAAGCAAATGTGGTGTGTCAGATAGTGATGAATGCCAAGGAGGAAAACGGAGTAAAGAAAAAGGGCTCCAGAAAGCAGGAGGCGAAGAAGAAGGGAGTATGGAGGGACAGAAAAATGAAACAAAGTGGCAAGCCTTAGCGATTTCTAGGTTAACTCCTTTCAGGCTTAGGGGAATTTAAGAGCAAGGGTTCTGAGGTGGTCCAGTGCTTGCTATGCTCGAGGAGGCCGTCGTTTGGGAAAGACCACTATGTCTAGCATGGTCCGGGAAACCTGACTGTCGTGGTGAGGGAAGGAAGTCTGAGACAGACACAGATACAGAAAAGCTGCGAACATGTCACTTCGATGGGACAGCACCAGCTACCCAACACCTGGGAGCCTTCCTTGTCCTGTTTATTATGCACAGCTCAAGAAGGAGAGGCTAGCAGGCCTTAGTAGAAGGGTAGGGAGCAGTCTCAGGCTGCAGGTATCTTAGAGGAGGACACTGCAGTTGCTGGCTTTTGCACGCCCTGGTCAGTTGGTCGTATGTACTCCATTTGGACCAGAGGAAGGCTTCAGCGTGTCTCCGAGTCTCGTGCAGAGGAAGGCATTGCCAGTTCCCTTGGGTCAGGGTCCTTGTCAGTAGTGCACATTCACACAGGAATTAATCTACTCCTTACACATTCGCTTAGGGCTCCCCACGGAAGGCTGATAAGTTTAGAAGATTAGAAAAATTAGCAACATGCTAAATATTTAAAGTCTAAAGGCTACCGTTAGGATTTGGGCTTTAATTCTCTGTTAAGATATGACGTTCATAGATAGTGCCAGACAGGACTGGAAAACGGAGGAGAAAAGAAAAAAGAGGAAGAAAATAGAAGGAAAGAAAAAAGGGAAGCAAGAGAGCAAGCTCCATAGATTAGTATAAAACAAGTCTTCCTTTAGTATAAAGCAATAGTCGTCCAAGATTCTAGTGAACTTTGAAATGTCCAGAGACTAACATAGACTTGCATGTCACTTCAAGGATAGGCTTTATTATATTATGCAAAAACCTAATGGGACAGTAGCAGTTTCAGTAATTAGACTTGTATTATAATGAAACTGTTAATTGTAATTCAGCTGCAACTGCATCGAAATAATAGAAAATTGTCCAGGATATTAAATAATTTCTTCCCCCAAAATAATACTGAAGCAGTCTTCCTAAATACTTGGAAGTGTATTAAAGGAGATTTAGACCCACTGATAAAAACTAAGAGCAAAGTGTTTAGGGAATGCAACCATAATTTAAAAGTAAATAAGCGTAAACTATTATTTAATGGAGAAATGCAATAATTTTTTATATTACCACATGAGTGCTTCTAAGGAACTATCTTGGATCACATATGATAATCCAAAGGGCAAGGATAGTGTCTCATAGTATCATATTTCTGATGGCCAAGAAACCAACTCTTATTGTATCTGAAACATTTCCCTTGAACTCCATTACTTAGTAAGTCTGGCACTGGATCAAAGGTATTTATTTGGGAAAAAAATAGTTAAGATAGGAAATTCTGCGCCTTTCTCACAGATTTACACTTGAATTCAAAGATCCTAAAATAGGGGTAGTTCTGAGGGTGGTCATCTCACATTCTGTGGTATAAATTTAGCTGCGGTGGCAGGGAAGGCACTGCCCGCCACTGATTGCCACTGATTGCTTGTGTAATTACATACTGGGAATCCTAAGGCTCTGACCTGAAGAAGATGAGAGTATAGCCTTGCTAATGGCCTTGAGCAGAGTTTAGAATCTTGGGGGACAAGGCAGGGAACTGGAGTGGAAACATGGCACTTGTGAGTACTCGATTCACCCGTTCAAACAAAAACAAACAAGAAAACTTCTTATCATCACACCAGACACTGCTAAGATCTGTAGGCAAAGAATACACCAAATCTTGCAAATGCCACTGAGAGGAGAAACATGCTAGATTTGGTGCCTTCCTTGCCTACAGATTGTAGCAGTCCCTGGTAAGTGACAGCTACGAAACAACTACAGTGAATGCTAGGAGCCTGTGATACACAGATGACCGTCCACACGCCTCTCGAACCACAGTTCATGTATAGAGACCCACTTTAGGAACGGTTAGTGCTCTGTGCTGTTGCAGGGAGGGGTGCCCTTACTCAGCGTTTGTAGAAGTGAATGGGAGGTAACTTGCCACAGCAATTTGTGTATGTTTAAGTTATCTAACCTGTATGTAGTTTGTACATCTATTCGTATTACAGTGGCCGGGGTTCTGGAACATTGCTGGTACACGATAAACATTTTACCGTAAGTTAATAAAAGAATGAGCCTGCATTGCATCGTTGTTTGACTGTGTCGTGTCAATGGATATATGGCAAAGGGGGCACACACAAAAAGTTAAATTTCTCTGCTTGAAATAGGAGTTGTATGAAACTCGGAGGGAGGCCTTGAACTGTCAAACAGCAGCGAAATCCAGAAACGCTTTGTGTCTGTGCCCGAGTCCTTCTTAAGTGTTTAAAGTTTGTCCATCGCTAGAACAGTGGACTGGGTCCCTTTCAGAGTGGTGGGTGGGCACCTGCCAAAAACCGCCCCACCAGACCCTGCGGTCCACAGCTGCTGCTGGAAGGATTTCAGGGCATCCAGAACTTCACGGTGGCTATTGCGCAGGCTCTGCGTCCCACGCAGGCTTATTAGGAAGAAGCAAGAAAAACTACCCCGAGACACGTGAACCACAGGGGACCAACCCCGGCCTCAGCTGCGCACCACATCGGATTCTGGAATTTACAATCACGAAAGTTCTATCGTCCGGGGATTGGCTCCGGGGCCGCATGACATCATAGCGCTTGATCCAGCCTCCGGGCTGGGATTGGCTGGCCGCGCCATTGTGACGTCACGGTCAGCCCACGCCGGGGTTGAAGCTGCCGGGCGCCTTCCTCTTGCATCTCGGCTGCCGCTCGCTCCTGTTCCCGCGCCCGCTTTGCACATCCTCCCTCCGCTCGCGCGGTCCCGCTGCCGCTCGGTGCTCCCCGGCGCCGCTCGGGCCGAAAGGTGGGTGAGCCTCCAGCTTCGGGAACTCCAACCGGGGCGCGGCCGGGCTGCCGGCGCCGAGAGGTCCGAGTCGGGCGGGGGGCGGCAAGGCACCGTGACCCGGAGGGCGCGGGGCGCGGGCCAAGCGGAGCCCCGCCGGGATGCTGTCGCACCTGTTCGTGGGTGGCAGCCGCTTTGGAGCGCTGACAGGCGCGGGGATCGCAGGGAGGGAGGGCGGCGTGCTTGGACCTTCCGCAGGGCTTTCTCCGAGCGCCGGCGAGGGCTGCAGAGGAGGAGCCCGCGCGGGTCCGGGCGGCCCCGGGCGTCGGCCTCTCCCTGCTTTCCATTCCTTTGCTGCTGCCGGGGACGCCCGCTAGCCCGCGAGCACTCCGGGTGGGTATCGGGAGCCCTGCCCGCCCTGGGAGGGTGGGGACGCGTGCAGGCGCTGCGGGTTAGCGGCCTGGAGTCTGCCGATCCGGACAGTACGCTGCTCGGAGTTTTAGGAAAAGTGCCGTTTATTGTTTCCCTGCCAGGAAGGCTTCCCCTTCCCTTTTCCTGGGGGGTGGAGGAGATAATAACGCCCGGAGCAAGAGTTCTTTTTGAATGATCTTGAAGCCCCGGGGCACCTTTGAACTTAGCGTCCCCGCTCAAGAGGATGAGTTACGCTCGTCTCCGGGCGCCTTGATGGCAAATTTGAAGGATGCATTGGCTGAATTTTCTCGGGGGGGGGGGGGGGGGTTGGGGAGCGTTTGAAAGAATGCAATGCGTGACTCATTAGCTGGATACCCGAAAGGTGTCTGATAAAAAATTGTGGGGAGCGAGCAGCATCCCGTCCGTGTCCCCCACCCCAACCCCCAGCCCCGTTAACCCTGACCGTGTTTCTGTTTCTTAATGTCAGGGCTGGTGGCAGGAAACGTTTCGTGCACTTGTGCGGGAGGCCAGTGTTGCCTGTTGGTTTTGTAATTTGTTCCCCTGGCCGCTTGGCATTTATAACCTGTTGGTTTGTGCTTGTGTTGCAAGTCTCAGGCCACAGCATTGAATCGGAGTCTGTAGAGATACAGCTGGTTTGTCTTAGGTGAATGTACACCTTAGATTTCCATCTGTGGTTGGGCACGAGTGGATCGTCTATCTAGTCAGCCCTGACCTTGAAAGAAATGCTACTTTTGAGATTTTTTTTTTCCCCTCCTGGTGATAACGTTGATGCCAGGAGCTTGTACAGCGCGCCCTCTCATTTTGCATTTTCTTTTCGTCTTTCAGTTTCGAACTGAAGACAAAAGGGGGAATGTTATATACTTTCACAGAATGTGAACTTAAAAAAAAAAAATGAGGAGATGCATGACTGTTGGCTTTTTCAAAGTAGATATCTAGTAAGTTCAAACATTGTACTTACTTGGCTCAGTTTCCTTGTCAATCAACCTGCTTCCATGTTCCTGATTTATTACTCGGTTTCAAGAGAATATAAATGAAAGAACTCAAGAGGGGGTCTGCTAAATAGTGGTTTGATAAATGTTTCCTTTTCCTTTCCTGGGATTAACAGTGTTTCTCTTGGCCAGGACCTTGGCCTTTGGATGTCTCTTGTTTGCAGAAGTCTTTCCTCCAGCACTTCCTGCTCCGCCTTAGCCATAATTACTGCTTGTGCTGCTGTTAGAGGGGAAGCTCTCACCTTTGTGCCTTATTTCTAACTTGAAATATACAGACAGATCAAGGCAGAATTGCCTGCCATGTCTTTCAGGAACTGTAGCAGAGTAGATGTGTTGCCTGTTTCTCCACCACTAACCTTCCCCAGCTCACAATAACATCTACCACCTCCCCGTAGTTACCTGTCTTTCCCTGCATGCATTCCCTTTCATACCCATTCACTTGTCTGTCTCCGTCTCATGCCTCTTGGCCCTGCCTTTCCTGATGCTGAGAGTTGAACCCAGAATTTCACACATGCCCAGTAAACACTGCCTCTGAGCTACCCCTTCAACCCTGTTTCCTGAACTTAGCTGTAAGAGAACCGATTTGCTCAGTGTTTGTTTCCACATACATGGGAGTCTCATCATGCACCTTTTTGTTTGTTAAACAAACAAACCCTGGAACCAGCAGCTGGGTGGTGGTGGCAGCAGTAGCCGTGGTGGTGCTCTTGTTTTAATCCCAGCACTAGGGAGGCAGAGGCAGGTGGATCTCTGTGAGTTCAAGGCCAGTCTGGTCTACAGAGCTAGTTCGAGGACAGCCAGGGCTGCACGGAGAAGCGCTGTCTCAAAAAACCAACCAAACTAAACCGAAACAAAAACCTGGAGCGAAGGCCTAGAGATGCTGGCTTTTCCAAACTCACGCAGCTCCATCCTCAGCTGCATCCCCATCCTCACTGCATCCTTGTGTTGTTGGATTGTTTGTCTGGACAGCTACATGTCATTTATGTAATCGTGCTGTTTGGTAACTTAGAAAAATTCCAACCGTGTACTTAAAGCGCTGTCTAAAGCCATCCAGGAGTCATATTTGTTGTTTCTCAAATCTGCCTGAAATACGTTCTTTTATTTATCTTCTACTCGATTCATTTGTTTTAAGACAGGATCTCATATCATGGCCGCAGTGTAAGGATTTCTGAGGTTTCTGAGCCTTCAGTTTCTGATCCTGTAGGTGCACGGCAGCACATCTGGTTTGGGCTGTGCTGGGCATGGAGTCCAGGGCTTCAGTATGCTAGGCAAACGTTCTACCGGTTGAGGTATGCCCCCAGTCCGTGATTCACTTTTATTAACTCACTGACTTCCGTAAGCTGGTTTGTATTACATGTGTGCATGGATGGGGTGTTTGGATCCAAAGATGAGTGAAGCAGTGAGGTAGGTTTTTGAGACAGGTACCTACATGTATTGGGAAAGCTTCGTGACACAGTTACCTGTCAGATAGTGCAGTGCCTAGCAACACTGAATTGCTCAGGATGCTGTTGATGCAGGAAGCACAACCCAGTTCCAATAAGCTTAACCTCACACCTCTCTAAAGGCCTTGAAAGCAAGACCTTTGCTCTATTTCATTTCAGTCCTCTAACAATTATTAAGATATAGATAATTAAGCTTTGGCCCCTTTAAGCAACAACTGAGACGGAAGGATCTCTGGTATCTATCCCAACAGTGGGTTGGCTCTTATCTCACCTATTTGGCTGCTGCGCCTTTAGGAAGAGCTTGCATTAACACCCGGATGTCGAAAATTAGTTAGAGGAGGTTTGGAGAGCGGACAAGTGTGGAGTCATTGGGCAAGAAGGAAGTGCAGGTGACCGAGGCTGTTAGAGACAGCAGAAGTACGGCATTAGTCCGCCACTGCCATCATAACTAATAGCTTAGTTATTGGGTTGTTGTGGCGTACCTCTAGATCACTTCCTGAGGGCGGACCTCAGGCCCTATTAATCGATACCAGAGCATTCTCACTTTATAAGACGCTCAGCTGAGATTCTTGCCCAAGGTCACACAACTCATGCAGCCTTAGATGTTTCTGATGCCAGGTCCTGTTTTCTCTCCCGAGATGTTCGGTAACAGAACACTACAAGGTGTTTTAGCCAGAAGAAGTATGTGGAGTGCCGTGCGTAAGAAATAGGAGTCTTGTCAGTGTATATAGGATGGGTTGACGAGGACGGAGGCTTGGAATGTGGGGAGGTCCTGAGAATGCTAAGAGGTAACAGTCTGGCCAACCTCACATTATAGTACATGCAACAGACTGGGAAAAACAACACAGGCTGGAAATGCAGGGTTTGAGTAGAGCACACGTGCTAGTCAGGGTTGGTTAAAGTTTGGAAAGGCATTGCTGTGTAGAAGTGACTGCATGGCTCCTCATCTTCATATTCCTCCAAACAGGAGAAATTAGCTTCGAGCACTGGTCTCTCATTCTTCCTTTAAAAATGAAAGGTTAACGTTTCTTAGTTTCATTTTTGCAAGAATAAACCCTTTGTTTCTGTTTGGCAGTAGCCAGAGAATGAAAACTGAGATCTTTTAGGTCTCAGAAAGGCGTGACAACTGGTGGTAGAAATTGCAGCAGTGAAAGCAAACTGCTGCTGTTTTTGTCTTTCGGAGCTTGAAGCATTGATCTAGGAGATGTGTCAGCCTCATGAAGCAAATTTCTAAGGAAACACATATGAGCAAATACTGAGTTTCTGTGATAGGACCCTCCCTCCCAGGCCCTGATTTCAATCGATAAATGTTACTGTCACCAAACTTTTTGGTCCCCATTGGCATGTTCTTCCCCTGGGGACATTTTTAGTTGACTTGAGGTCATGCACTTTAAGCATTGTATGGTCCCTGGGTTTAAAACCCTACTTGGTGAGTTTTTAGAGATTTAAATTCCAGGATAGAGAGATGACTCTCTCTATCTTAGAGACTCTCTCTCTCTTAGAGACTCAGAGACTCATGGCTGGGGATGGGGTTGGGGGAGGGAGCTGGGAGTGATGGCACCCATCCGTGCTCACAGCACCAGCGGAATAATGGTATAATGATATCCTCTGGCTTCCGCAAGCTCACAGGTGCACAAATACAGAGACTGAATTCCTACCTTTCCTGCTCCTTCCTTCCCCACCTACTGTGTATGGAGTTCAATTGCAATTATATTCAGGCAATAAGAGATACCCTGTATCCTCAAGCTAGACTTCAGTGCTTTTGGCTCTATATCTTCCATTGTTTGAGGTTTAGGCTATTGTTTGTTGTTATTCTTGTAAGATTTTCAGTGCTGAATCTGTCTTGCTTCTAGCAAGAGCAACCATTTTCTTGAAAAACATTTAAAATTTTTTTTAGTATATTCTTAGTTACTGAATGAGGCTAGAGATCCCCACACACGCTAGTTATGGTTTTTACTGGCAGATTTCCACCATTGCCCTTTCCATTTCTCCTGGTCAACAGTTATTTCTTGTTACTGACTTCTAGGAAGCCATATTGAATCGACTTCATGGGAACCATCCTGGAGAATTTGCCCGTCGGGGATGTGTTTTGAGTTTCTGAAGCCAAGAGAACTGTTCTCCTTTTGTCTTGGCACAGTAAATGCTGCGACACAGTGATTGT